TTTTGTTCCTTTGAAAAGAAGCCAAGGGATTTGAAAGTTGCATTGCTTCAAAACATATCAGGTTTCATTTTCTCTGTAAGAATGTGAAATCAGCTTTAAAACCTAGGAAGAGTTTTTGTATATGAATGAAGCCACCTAAAGATCTCATGGCCCCCAAATGTCATAGTGTTACAGAAATGGCTTTCCTCTAAGCACTTGGAAGCTGTACCCGGGTATCCTTCATGTGACTCTGGCTTGATTCTCCTTCACACTGCAGTGTTAGAGTGTTTTTGTGTCTGAGCAAAGCAAAATTTACTACTTTTTGAATCTGGTGACTGTTGACATCTGTGCAGAGTGAGTTGGCTTTCCTGTTGTATTCACTTCAGTGTGCCCCATTTTGTGCAGCTCCCTTGCCTCTCTGTCTGGAGCATCGCACACTGCACCATTCTAAGAAATTAAGTGCAATGAGATATGTTAATTCAACATTATGGCTTAGGAATTATATTTCCTGGACCTCACGTGTACTTAAAAGTTGAATCAATCAAATTTTATTGCTTCCTTTTTCCTTAGAGCAGCACATTGAAAGTGATGGCTTTTTTTCTGCAGTCATAACTCAGTGGCCTTGGTGGCTTTTGTCTTGTGTGTAGATTTCAAAGTAGACTCCATTTCCTCAGTGCTGTGAGTGCTTAGCTGGGACTGAGTACTTGTGACACTTCTCAAGTTCACAGCTCTCTGTCACAGCCCAGATGTCAGTGTCTGTTGTTACCATGAAGATCATGTTTAGTCTTCAGCCTTGATCATGAAGGGAAGTGATGAGGAGCTTTTATGTTTTGTTTCATTTTGTTGTTTTACAGTGCAAAGTTTCTCATATGCTAGGCATGTGCTATACTGCTAAACTACACCCCCAGCCCCAAAAGAAGGGCTTTATGTGTTATCAGCTCACCAAAACCTGCTCTGTGACTGAACTCTCAGTCAATCTGAAGCAGTTTTTTTTTTTTTAAAGTCCCCTTTGTCATAAAATCATTAACAGGTTGCTTTGGCAGCTATCATTTAGAACACCCTGCAGCCATCTGCTTTTTTTTTTTCTATTTGCATTTTTTTATTTTATTGGTACATTTTAGACATACATAATGATACCATACATCATAGAGAATTTGTACCTGTGCATGATCTATCTTACTGCTGCTGCTTCCTTTCCTCCTACTGCCCCCTTCTTTTTCTTTTTCTTTTTCTTTTTGAGGCCGGGCCTCACTATGTAGTACAGGCTGACCTTGAACTCCCCTTGTTGGCCTAGGCTGGCCTTGAACGCACAGTAATTCCCTCTGCCTCAGTCTCCCAAGTGCCAGGACACAGGCATATGGCACCATGTTGGCTTTTTTTTTCTCATTTTCCTCCTCTCTTTTTAACCCCTCTTCCCCTCCTTATTGACAAAAGCTTTGTTTTCATTTTTCCTTCTATTCTTTTTTTCTTGTCCCTTTTTTCCTTTCTTCTTCTTCCCTCTCTTACTCCCCCTCTCATTTCTCAATATTTATTGTACATTTTGGTCCTTTTTTACACTTTAGGTTTCCCACACTAGAGAAACGATGCAGTATTTAAACATGCATGTCTAATTTACTTCACTTAAGAGTATGATCTCAAAGTCCATCCATTTAGCTGGAAATGTCTCAAGCTTTTCCTTCTCTACTCCATTGCATTAAAAAAAAAATGTGTCTTCTTTACTCATTCGTTGATTGATGGGCATTTGGGATGTTTCCAAGATTTATCTGTTACAAACTATGCTGCTATAAGCTTGAGAGATATATATGCATATATCTCTCAGGAAGGATGCTTTTAATTCTTTTGGGAAGATACCTAGAAGGCAAATAGCTGGGTCAAATGGAACCTCTCGTTTTAGGTTTTTGAGGAATCTGCACATTGATTTCCACAGTGGTTGCACCAGTCTGTACTCCCTCCAGCGGTGAAGAAGGTTTCCTTTTTCCTCACAACCACATCAACATTTGTTATTGGTTAATTTCTCTTTTTCTTTTCTTTCCTTCTTTCTTTTTCTTTTTTTTTTTTTTTTCTGGAATCAGGGATTGAACTCGGGCCCTTGTGCTTGCCAGGCAAGCACTTATTCTACTGAGCCATCTACCCGGCCCCTGGTTAATTTCTTGATAACCATTCTTTCTGCAGTTGTTTTAATTTACATATCTTGAAAGACCAGTGGTGTTGAACGTTTTTCATACATTTATTTGCTAGTCGTATTTCATGTGAGAAGTATGTATTCATCTCAAATGTCCATTTTTGGATTTGGTCTTTAAATTTGGGGGAGGGGTCTGATTTTTTTGAGTACTTTATATGTTCTAGATACTAGTCCTTTGTCTAAGGAGAAACTGGCAAAAATTTTTCCCACTTTGTGGGTTGTCTTTTCACTTTATTGATTTCCTTTGCTGCACAAAAGTTTTTTAGGGCTGGGAGATAGGTCAGTGGTCTAAGTGCCTGCCTGGCAAGCATAAGAACCTGGGTTCACTCCTCAGTACTGCATCCCATGGTAGCCCTGGGACCCTGGGTGTGCCATGCCAGCCACAGAAACTGGTTGTGGTGGAGCACACTTTTAATCCCAGTGTTGAGGGGGCTGAGATGGGGATCACTACAAGTCTGAGCTGCATAGTGCGACCCTGTATCAAATAAAAGATTTTTTAAAAGTTTTTTTAATAACATGAGATCTGAGGGCTGGAGAGATGGCTCAGTGGTCTAAAGCACCTACTTAGAACAAGCTTAGCAAAAGCATCAGGGACCGCGGTTCAATCCCCCAGCACCACATGCCAGCCAGCCCCGCCCCCTGGTGGGCTGAGCTGGCCTCTCTCTCTCTCTCTCTCTCTCTCTGTGCCTCTCTCTCTCTCTCTCTCTCTCTCTCTCTCTCTCTCTCTCTCTCTCTCTCAAATAAATAAATAAATAAAATTAAAAAAAAATAACATGAGATCTGAGTTATTAATCCTTTGTATAATTTTCTGTGCAATTGGGGTTTGTTCATAAAAGTTTTTACCTATACCTATGTCTTCAAGAGTTCTACCTACTCTGTATTCCAGCAGATTTAGTGTTTTTGTTTTAATATTTAGATCTTTGATCCATTTCAATTTTAGTTGAGTGTGTAGTGGAAGAGATGGTTCTAGTTTTAGTCTTTAGCATTTGGAAGGCCAGTTTTTCCAGCATCATTTATTAAACAGGCTGTCTTTCTTCCAATGAAAATGTTTGGCTTCGTTGTCAAAGATTAGATAGCTGAGTATGTTCAGAGTTGTTTCTGCATTTTCAAATCTGTTCCATTGATCTTTGAGTCTCTTTTTTTTCCAGGACCATGTTGTTTTTATAACAGTAGCTTTGTAGTATAATTTCAAATAGTGATTGTGACTTGTCTTTGTTGCCAGGAATTGCTATTCTAGGTCTCTTCTGGTTCCAAATGAATTTCAGGATTGTTTTCTCTAACTCTGTGAGAACATGCTATGTTATTTTGACTGGAATTTTATTAAACCTGTGTAACAATTTTGGAAATATGGCTATTTTACTATATTGGTTCTTCCTATTTAAGAGCAAGTGATATCTTTTTATTTTCTTTTAATTTTTTTACATTTATTTATTTATTTGTGTGTGTGTGTGTGTGTGTGTGGCCAGCTCAGCCCACCAGGGGGCGGGACTGGCTGGCATGTGGTGCTGGGGGATTGAACCGCGGTCCCTGTGCTTTGCTAAGCTTGTTCTAAGTAGGTGCTTTAGACCACTGAGCCATTTCACCAGCCCCATCTTTTTATTTTCTGATATCCAGTTCTATCTCTTTTTGAAGAGTACTATAGTTTTCAAGGTTAAGGTCTTTTACTTCCTTTGTTAGATTGCTTCCTAGGTATTTCATTTTTTTGGATGATACTGTGAAAGGTACTGTTTCCCCTAATTTCTCGGTATGTTTGTTATTTGTTTACAGGAATGCTATTGATTTTTGAATGGTGGCTTTGTACCCAGATATGCTACTAAATTTGATTATTAAATCTAGAAATCTTCTGGTAGCATTTTTGGGATCTTCTATGTAGTGTCATGTCATCCACAGATAATAATAATTTAAGTTCTTACAGCCATCTGCATTGACCAGCTCACATGACTTGCTTCTGTGAGCCAGTTTCATGCCTCTCCCATTGCCCCTTTCAGGTGAAGAAGCAGATTTTAGAGGAAAAGATCTACTGCCCTCCTGAGGCTTCAGTGCTCCTGGCTTCTTATGCTGTTCAGGCCAAGGTAGGTGCAAAGAGAAAAGTACCTTTTTTTCTGAATATTAACTGTCAAAATAGCTTCTTCTTCTTCTTCTTTTTTTTTTTTTTTCTTTTTCAAAATAGCTTCTCTCTCCTGTTTCTTTGGATTTTCTGGACTTTAAAAAACCTTTCCCTGAAATTGAGATGTCATGGTACTGGTGGTCTGGGGGAATTGCCTGTCATAGTCCCAACTCTTATATAATTGTGTGTAGTTGTGTATACATGTACAAGTGATAAATATACCATTCTAATGAATTAGAATTCATTCTAAATGAATTAACTCAGATTAATGAATTTTTAAATGAAATCTCATATACATATGATTTATTACATACATCATACCACCATTTTATTAACCAGAATAAATGAATTTATGGTCTCTTAATTATAGCCAGAAATAACTCTTTAGGTTAGAAGTCCCAGATCCTGGAAGGCTGAGGCAGAAAGATCAAGCCAGCCTGGCCAACTTAGGGAGCAAGACTCTGTGTCCAAATAAAAAAAAATGAGTTGAGTCAAAGTCTCTGAGTTTAATTCCAACTACAGCCAAAGAAAAAAGGTCCAAGTCTTCCTTCCAGACTCATGTTTGAGAGCTATCTGCCATATGTATGTGTATACTTGAAGAAAGCTTGCTTCCTTTGCTCCTGGTGGCTTGTGCTCAGTGCATGTGTCCTGACACCATCGGTGTTGGGGACACTGAGCCCTCTTGAGCCTTTTGGTTAGTTGACCATCATTCACTCTAATTAAATGCAGACCAAAGAGATGGTGGGAGAAGGATCCACCATTGAGTCTTGTGTGCCTCCCCTTCACCTTGGAGCTCCAGTGGCATAGTCGGTTAGCACGCGGTACTTATACCCTTCACTTTTTTTTTTGCAGTACTGGAGATGCAACCCAGAGCTTAATATATGCTAGACAAGCACTTTACTACTAAATTACATTCCTATTCCTTTTTTTGTTGTTGTTCAGGAGGGTAGGGTCTTACTAAGTTGGCTAGTCTCATCTTGAACTGAAGAGCATCTTGCATCAGCCTCTTAAGTAGGTGTGATCACCATGCATGAAGCCAATGGAGGGTAATTTATGTCTCTCAGATTTCTGACCTAATGACATACCTCCTTCTCTTGGTCTCCCTGCTTCTTGTCTTTCACTAAATACAAGAAGGTATCCCTCAAAATTGAAACACTGTGATTACTTGTGATTGTAATAATTTCAGTTCTTTTTCTTTTTCATTACTCGTATCAATAAAGCTATCCTGGTAGTATTTGAAAAAGTAATAAAACTGGGCTGGTGAGATAGCTTAGCAGTCTAAAGCATCTGCTTAGGCAAGCTTAGGCAAGCGCAGGGGACCACAGTTCAATCTCTGGCACCCTATGCCATACCAGCCCTGTCCTTAGGATAGGCTGAGCTGTGTGCTCCCCGCCCCCCCCCAAAAAAAAAGACTGATGAAACCTTCTTCTTAGCACACTTTTAGGTACATTAGTACAATTTCAGGTCAAAGTAAGGAAGTAACTAACCTGTCACTTGTTGGTGGTGGAAGGACTATACATTGTGCACACCGGTCAGACTTAATAGAAGCATATGTCTTCAGAGTTGGGCCCAGGATATAGCTCAGTGATGCAGTGCCTGCCTGGCAAGTGTGCGGTCCTGAGTTTGATTCCTGTTACCCCTGTAAACAACAACAACCACAAAGAAACACCAGAATGAACTTCATTATTTGATGAGTTATCTAATATTTGCTGAGTATTCACCAGGCCTGGGGTGGCATTATCTGTTGACTGTCATAGATTCAGGTACTAAGTATGTACCCTCAGTAAGTGTCCCATAGTCAGTTGGCCTATCTTGAGTAAAGAAATTGGGATAGAATTTATGGCTTTGGATTATGTTTTGTGCATCTCCTATTCCACTTCCCTGAAAAATGAGTAATTGAGAAAATAGAAAATGGGACTTGATTCAACTAAGACATATGCTTCATTTTAAGTTTTGATGAAGAATATTAGTTAACAGGAAAATGTGTCCTTTCCATCAGTATCTCTCTGACAGTGATGAAGCAGTTATTGTCACTTTCATTACATCCAGGCGCTTTCTGGCCCAGAGTAGTCATTTTCCCATGTTCTCTCCCAGTTTAAAGTAGACCCAAACTCTGAAGAACACTATGGTACCTTAGTCTCAAAGGCTATATTTTCTTTGTGTGGATTTTGGGCTACAAATTCAAAGGCCACCTGTGGAGGGGAGGTGGGAATCACTCTTCAGAGAAACAGCAGATGTTTGCTTACACAGATTTCACTGTAGGAAAGCCCTACTAATTTGGATCCTACTAATTTGGAGATGAAAGCGATTCACAGATAGCATATTCACAGTAGTTTATATGGAGTAGGATGTTCTATTTTTTCCGGTGTAAATTTTAAGGTTCTTTCAAATAAAGGTAATCTTTGGCTTTAAAAGTCTACATTCAGGAAACTAAGGCTTACTGTAACATGTTCCAATGTCTAGGGCTGCTGGCTAATAGTAAAAAAATATTTCTGCTTATAACATTAATCAAATCTTCTATGTCCATAGTGTTTAATAGTGTTATAACTAGTATATTTGGTGTGATTCTTATAGTCTTTTCTACAAGAAGCCAAGGTTAGAAAGTTTGTACCTCTTTTGCAGATGAGGAATTTAAGGTTCAGAGAAGATCAGTGATTTGTTCAAAGTCACAGTACTTTGATGTTAATTAGATTTGTATGAAATGCATAACCCACTCTTTTTTTCCCCATAATTTTATTGAGAAACAAATAGCAATGAGACAGTTTCAAATCAAATTGGTAGGACAGTTCCAATAATTAACACATTGCATACTCTCTTCCTAGTGGTTATTTGCTGTACAAGATGCAGACATGATATCCTATTTACAAACACCATTAGAACAAATCCCTCTATTCATTAAGAGAATGTAACTATATATCTATCCTAACCATTTTGAATACACAGATACAAAATGGACATTCATCGGTATCCCCTTTTTTGTTTAGTTCCATCATTTGAATATTATAGGTGTGTTAACTCAGCAAAATATTCTAAAAGAGTCCAGTAGTACATAATAGTATTGGGTCTTCCGCTTCACTGGCAATGTCAGAAATTGTTGACCTGAGTCCCCTACAGCTCAACATAACACCATGGCTTTAATTCTTGTACTTCGTTTTTATACTTTTCTGTTGGATGGTTAAGACCAAGAAAAAGCAAGACCTATGCAACAAGAGTTGTAGCTTTTGGATCTGATAAGGTCAGTGAAATCCCCTCAGTATTTGTCCTTAGATCCTGTACCTCAGATTGTAGAAACTTTGTCATTGTCAGCCATGTGAATGAGTCATGGCCATTGCTTGGCCAATGCGCTCTCTGTGAAAGCCTGGGAGAATGTTTTCTCTCCATGTGACTCTGCTTAGGCACGCTCTACATCATCGATCACTTTCCTCTTTGGCCCCATAATCTCCTTGATCAGAAAATTTGGGACACTACTGAGTTATGTGAGATTACAGTACAAGTTCTCATATGTCCTGAGTCATAATTGACCTTGGAAGGCTAGGGCCAGAATGTTGGCTTTCCTTGCTGCCCTCCTTTTTCTCTAATTTTGGTCTGCAAACTTAGGTTATTAACCCTCCAGAAGAGAAGCTTATTGTTATTACCATACAACCGAGGCTGTTAAGCTTAACCTCACTATCTGTCTGAATATCAAACATCTTAGGCATAACATGGAACAGGTATTTT